TATATATATACATATATAAAAACGCGTTTAATATTTAGGCTATAATATTATATATCTGGTTGGTTTGTATTGGTGATGTAATATGTAAATGATATGCGTGTGGCCCGTGAGACTTGCACTTGGACCATAGTGCGGCCCAGTGGAAAAAAAGGTTGAGAACCACTGGTTTAAATCCATAAAATCCTCTAAATTTGAGTCCTTAGTTGAGGGTTTACAGGATTATTTAGTTGCTGATGTTGGATTTATTGTTTTCATAGTCATTGTGGATGAGTCTGAATCTTTATCTGTCTCTAAATAAATATTGATACCAGTAAGAGTCTGTCAAACGGTACATTCCAGAATCATTCGATGTTTTAAGACCCAATGCATGTTATGCAATAAAGCAGCCAGAGATCAGATAACACACATAAATTTGCATCTGTTACAGAACGCAGTTAATTTCTTAGCAACGTCTTCATTTGCATCTCTTCGCATTATATTACGATGATCAGGTGCATGAGGTGTTTCACATTTGTGCTCGACACCGAATCGCCGAACCAATCAGAAGCCTGCCCTCCTTCACGGCCCCTCAGTCTCTCCTGCCTGTTTTATGGTTTGTTTTTGAATGTACTGAGCATGCTCCTGAATCACCGGCATAGGCCTGCCATGCTGCATACTGATGAACAGAATACCTACAGTACACACACACACACACACAGCAACAACATGCCCTCCCTGTCACTGCGCAGACAAACAGGCTTGTGCAGGATCCCACATGCTTGCAGTCGCCATGGCGACGCAGACAAATTGAGCCCTGCAGTGGGCTGAGAGACAGCGCAGACGATGCACACGCACCACATTCGGCACAAAGACACCCAGCCGAAAGGTTAATGAGGTCCGCTAGCAAACATTACAGCATCTTAGCGGCTCTCTGCCTAAACACGCTTATCTGGGCCTGAAATGGTAAAGCACATTGTGAAAGATATGAGGACACTGATGCAGTTACGTCACTAGCATGAGTCTGGCTGAACGTTAAAACCCTCACATATGCTGTCGGGACGCTGTAATGCCATACCTGGACTAGTTTAGGCACGCAGCATCTCATTCTATATCAGCAGTGAGACACTATATACAAGCATGTGCTGCATACAAGTGTCTAACTTATTCAACTTCTGCACGTATGAATGATGAGAGTGTGCTGTTACTTTACTAATTGATCAGATGCACCATTTTCACCTGTTGGAGGTGAAACATTTCCACAGATGCACATTGAAGGAGGGAACTATGCTGTATCTACAGAAGCAACTTGAACGTGGACTGTTCTGTCTTGGGCCAGGAAGCAGACACACAGCAACTGAAGTTTAAAAACAGCCAGTGTCTGACCTAAAACCAGTTCTACAAAGACTGTTTCCTGTCTATTCAGCAATAAAGTCTGATGATATGGCAAGGTTATGTAATCGGCATCACTGTAAACAGTTTGCATAATGCCCGCAGATTGTGAGAAATTATAATAGTTAGCAGGAACAAATAATAGATTTAAGGATATTTATATGTAAACATTGTCTAATACGGGATGCTGCAACAAACATTTTTACATTTCATAGTTTGAAGGTGTTTGGGTTAACAAAATACATATACAAAAAATATATATCTATGTTTATATATGTATATGTATACTTGTATGAATGTAATTTGACAAGGACCATTAATAATGTCCATACTTACGCATCCTTGACTCTTGATTGACTATAATACAATATATTATACTTGGGCTTAGAGGTTTGTATTAAACTTTGTCTGTGCTATAGACATGAATGCAACCTCAAATGGTCATAATTTGCACCTGGTGGATGATAAAATTGGGTGGAAAACTCCCCAGCAATCACCTAGTAACCCAAAATCAGAACCACCATGCAACTACCTAGAAATCCCCAGAAACCACCTAGAACAGTCTAGCAACACACTGTGAGTTTTACAGCGAGTTTTGCATATTCAAACACCGCTCATGTTTTCTTTTTAAAAAATTGTAATATCCAGTTTGTGGAACAACTATTCAAACTACCAAAATCCAACAGAAGACATTCAAGGTTTACATGACAACAAACATTATATCACTCAGTTCCAATGTGAAATATGATTCATGACCTTCAGTAAAACCGGCACCTCCCATCCTCTAAGACCCACACCAAATGCATATACCAGAACAAGACATCTATCCCATATTTCCCTAACCCCCCTCCACAAAAAGGAATTACAGGGAAGCTTTGCTGGAGACTGCAGTCCTGGGCACAGCGGCGCGCCACATTAAAAGATGCCTGTGTAGTCATCAGCATTGCTAAACATAATCCCCAGCAATCTGACCTCTGTCCCACAAGAACAGACCCACGATTCCAACGACAATGATGCTTCAGTCTGACTAAAGGTCTTCCAGCATGGGCTAGACACACACACATGCATGCATAAACATCGGTCATTTCTACTCACACAGTGGGGCAACAAGCATTTGGTGTTTTGATAGCGCATCGAGCCATCGGATGTCATCGGTCATGCTGAAGCAAGATGCGTGATGGACAACCCTGACTCACAATCATGACTCGTGTGTGTGTATCTCCCTGAAAGTGCACCCCCCTGGGGCAGCCATCTTGGCTCAAACGCTACCTGATAACGTCTCCCGTCTGCGAGCCAACAGCCCTGCCAAATCGCACCAATTACCTGAGCTCCCCTGGGCAGCGGCGGTAATGACATTAAGTCAAGGGGAAGCCCTTCGTTCTTTGGTGCGACGTAAGCTTCCGAGTGGAAAATACCATATGTTATGTGGGAAGTTTAACGGTGACTCACCTTGTTGGAGGCCATCTCGCTGACGGAGTGTCGGGTCTGCAGGGTCTCCAGCTGGTCCAGGCACCAGTCCAGCTCCTCCAGGGTCTCGGTGGCCAGTTTCTGGTAGGCCTCCTCTGGAGGGAGACAGGGAAGGGGATGGTCAGTTTTGAGGCGTTTGACCGGGCTAGCCGAGGCATCGTCCACGTCGTACACAGCCATGCTGTGATGCCCAGGGTGGACACATGGATGACTCTTCATGCTGTGCTGAAAAGATCAGGGCTAAAGGATCAAGTACGAGCTGCTCCTCGCCCTCTGAAAACTCCAGAGCCAGTCGACGCAATAAAACCGAGTCACACCGCTGTCGGTCCGGCCGTGCAGGGCTCCTGGTGTAGAGCGCACCGGAGCCCCATGCTTCTAGAAAAACAAAAAAGACACACACATACGAGCACAGAGATTCCCTTTTTAATCTGCTTCTACTGATTCCCAGCGGGTTGCCTGAACAATCCCATGTCCGTACGCTGGTTTACAATCAGTCTCCTCCACAGGTCCATGAACTTCAGAGGATGTCTTATAGCTGACGCTCTGCCTCACAACAAAAGAGAGAAAACGCAAAGGGTCTCCTCAGCACCTCCTACCGGCTTTAATCCCCCAGACAGAGAGTCCTGTATGAAGCGACGGGCTTTGCCCAGTGTTCCTGGAGAGCTTGGGCAAAAAGAGCTTGCACAAGCGACAGTGAGAGAGTCGCGCGGCACCTCAGCTACACAGATATGACATAGGAGGCATTGCTTTACACAAACATGAGCGGCTTCCTGTGAAACCACAAACCTACAGAGCTGGAGAGCACGACGCAGCGAGAGACGCAAGATCTGGACCGGAGCACTGTAGCAGGAGCCCAGCTTCCCTGCAGACTCACTGCTGTCAGCAAAAAGGGGCCAGATCTCTGTTACAAATGTGTATTAAAAATGTATGCTACAGTTCTGTCTAATGCGTGACACGGCTCGGGACTAGAGTTTCACAACATCTGAAAGGAAGATCAAATTAACCACAACATGTGTTTAAACATTTATATCTACTTAATTTAAATGTATGTTGTAAATTGCATTTATTAACATATATATTTAGAATTATGCTAGTTTATTTAAATTATTGATATACATTTTTTAAAAGTTTAGATCATATTTAATATAATTAATAATGAAAAAACTATCTATCTATCCATCTATCTAAAATATTAATGTTTTTATTTATAAAATATAATGATGTAAAAAAAATTTAAAAAATAAACAAATAAATATGTATGTATTTGATTAATCATGATTGATCACATTCAAAAGTTTGTGTTTACATAATATATGTGTGTGTGCTGTGTATATTTATATGTATATATAAATACACACACATGTATATATTTAAGAAATACATGTAATATATAATTATATATAACTCAAACACAAATATATATATACACATGTAAATATTTCTTAAATATATACATGTATGTTTAAATATATATATATATATATATATATATATATATATATATTAGTGCTGTCAATCGATTAAAAAAATTAACTAATTAATCACACTTTTTTCCTGAAATTAAACGTGATTAATCCCACCTAACATTAAAGTTTAAAAAAAATACTTTTACATTGCATTAAAATTCAATCTTCAAATTAATGTAGAAACAACATAAAGACAGTATATTTTTAATATTTGTATAATGGCATCTTTTTTTATGACTGAAGGTCAGTATCACTCTGCTGTCTCTACGAAATAGTTGTTTCCCCTGATATTTAACCATTGATTAGCCATTCAATATTACAAAGCTATCAATTTTAAGTTTTTAACATTTATTAGACTACTTAAATAACTTCTAATTTAAGTGAACTTAAGTGAAACAGTCTTCACATAAACCCATTATAATAAACGTCATACCTGTGCCCTTCGGCAAGTAGGAAATATATAGAAATGTAATACATTTATCAAACACTAAATTCAAAATGAAATGCAGATGAATCCTTAAAGCTACAAAAGTTATTGATTTCCTCTTTTCTTCTTTTGATCTTTGATTACCAGTAGGGATACTGGTATCGGTATCGGGCCCGATACTGAGCTCCTGTACTCGTACTCGTTAAAATGCCCCGATACCAAATGCCGATACCACACAGCATGTGATAAGCGCCATATTCAAACAAAGAAACACCAACAACAGAACAACAGACAGCAGAAAGGAGTTAAGGATGTCTACTACGAAGTATATGTATGCAATGAATATAATGTTAAACATTCAGTATTAATGCCTGTATAGCTGATGTGCACGAGCTGATAAACAAAGCACGCTGAGTGGATTGAGTGTGCAGCGGCGCAGATGCGGGAGCTTGTCGAGTGAATATATCTTTCTCACAGACATCACTGGAAAGTTTGTAGTTCGGGCGGATATGTCAAACAATGCACAAGTTACTTAACGGTAGAGAGAGAGAGAGAGAGAGAGAGCGAGCGCGCGCGCACTTCTGTTGTATGATCTTTGATGTTCACTCACTTAGCACGCGCATAATTTGGATTAAAACTAAATCGTAAAAATAAGACCATTTATAGGGGCATTCACTATAAACATCATTTATTTTCAACCTTAGGCATACATGACTTTCTGGCGAAAGTCAATCTAGCAGCCTGTGTGAAATGCGCTAGGCTGTACTAAGATTACGTGACAGTCAATCTACGCAGATTACCACTGAAAATTAATCCTCGTTATGCGATCTGTTCAGGGCCAGATTTCATTTTTTTCATAATCCTAGATTATGTCGGGGCTGTGCAGTTGTGACTAGTGCATTTAAAACCTTAACCTGCGTCACAGGATGTGCATACGTTCATACCGCACAGACGATAAACAATAACTCAAATTGTTGCAATTCTACTCGTGTGTATTGAGTTACACAGAGGAGAGCTAAAGTTACAAGAAAAGTATTCATCAAAACAAGTGTGACACAATCACAACACACACTTCAGAGGTCACAGGATCTTGGTGCTTTTGTTACAGGGCAACCTTTTGTGGACTATACTGAGAAAATTTGACATGCAGCTCTGCATGTGTCAGCGCTGCGCACACGTTTGCTCAACATACACTCGGGTCAGCAGCAGCTTTGTCGATCATAATTCAAGGGTAAGGGGAGAAAAACAGCTTGGTGACACACTAGCCCCACAAAGAAAGAGAAAATGCACAGATGAAAGGTTTAAGAAGGGAAAAGGATGGGGAAATGGGGGAAAGTGTGGCATTCTCTCCGCCCCAACCCCCCCATTTCTTTAGCCCTCTCCTCAAATGGCTGTCCAATCACTCTGAGCAGAATTCAAGAGCAGGGGTCCACTGTCCTTGCTGACAACATCTCCTCTGACGTCAATGGCATTCTTCTTGTGTTCAGTGCGACACCAGAGGCCGGCCCCTCAGAAGCTGCTGTGACTGAGAGCAGGACAGGGCTCCAGCCAAACTCTGGAGTGGATTCCACAAGAGAGGAACGCCAGAGACTGAGAAAACACTCTCTGACTGGATGCCAGACAAAGCTACAGTTTAAAAATAAAGCAATTCAGAGAGCAAAAAGATTTTGGTGCATCCCTTGGTCAAGAAATATCCGGGTCATTTTTCAACTCAAAGTATTTTAAAACATTTTAGTGCATAAAAGCCTATTTGAAAACAATCAAATCGTTTTGAATTTGATCAGAATCCTACCTTAAGGTGTCTATGTATCCATTTATACTTTTATTCAGCAAAGATGCATTAAACTGATCAAAAGTGACAGTAAGACTTTTATAATGTTACAAAAGATTTCTATTTAAAATGCATTTCAATTTAAATCTACTTCTGTTCTTTCAAATGATCCTGAAAATAATGCATAGCGATTTCCACAAAAAATTATTAAGCAGTACAACTGTTTTCAATTACATGATAATATTCAGAAATGTTTCTTGAGCAGCAAATTAGAATATTAGAATGATTTCTGAAGAATCATGTGACACTGAAGACTGGAGTAATGATGCTGAAAATTCAGCTGTGCATCACAGGAATAAATTACAAATAAAAATAAAATAAAAATATATTTTAAAAATATATTTATCACAATGACATTTTTTTAATAATAAGATAAAAAAATAATCTGTAGTATTTTAATATTATTAGAAGTATTATTTATTAAAATATTTTTTAAATTGAAGGCACAAACAGATAAATAAATAAAATGCTTGCAATTATGATCATAAAATGTAATTGCCTCCAATTAAAATGTTTGCTTTTGTAGTGAAATATGACTTGGACATTTTAGACCTTTTTTTTCCTTTCTGAATATATGATACAAAAAACACCTGGCAAACCCACATTTACTATATCCAGAATGTCAAAACCTGACGTTCACCTACTTTGCTGCTAAATTACGCTAAATTCAAATGAATAAAACCCTTTCTCTAGTAAATGACTGGCCCATATAGCTCATCAAACATCACTCAAGCAGGTTAGAGCTGTGTGATAGACTTCAGATAAATCACTCAGAGCCACCACCTGGCCCCGCTAGATGCCAAACGGTTTCTGAGAAAACCTTAATGTCACCCCTTAGTGGGTCAGCAGTCTTGAAATACACAAGACCTCTCCAGTAATAGCGAGAAAGCAGCCGTAGGAAACAGAAGCCTCAGGCTGATGCAAACACCTTCAGAAAACCAGCCCGAGATCACCTAGACACCACGTTTGGAGAGGCGCCTATGTGAAAAACCAGGTCATTCTCGTGAGACTCCTTCTTTTTGAGATGCTTATGCCATCCGTCGTCAGGTTGCCAGGCAACCGCTGTCGAATCATTAGAAAGCAAGGGGCGGGACCTCTGTGTTTTAAGCAGCTGCTAATCTAGAAGGAGCCGGTAATGGACCGAATCAGTCCATATTGGCAGGTGCCACTGAGGAAAGTGCAACTTTGATTTTAAGGCTTCGTTTTTTTCATATGGCCTGAATGCACAGTTAGCACATGCACTAAACTGGAGAAGTGTTGGTGTGAGTTGTGTGTGTTTCCATATCAGACATTTGCATTAAGGACAAGTGATGGGGAGCATCTTGATAGACGGACTCATCTTGCGAGTCCCAGCAAGACGCCAACACGTGCTTTCCTGAACTGGAAGCACGTCTCTGGCCGAGCATGAAAGCGAGATGGCGTGCGTTTGCGAGTATCATGTCAGAATTGTGGGCTGCCAGCTGCGCCACATCTATTAATAACAGCTTTGCACAATTCGAATGGGGTGAAAGATTCACGAATGTCAAAGCGGGTTTTGTTTACATCTTTTGGAGGACGTGTTCCTCGTGCATCTATATCCAATATATGGACATAAGCATGCAAATGCCCAAAGACCAGACCTGTTATAAGCATCTAATGTGAAAATGGTTGGTATTTAATGTGGTGTTGATCTGCTTCTTAGATGTTTCTCTTGAGAAAAATACCCCAGTGATCTCATGCATCTCCTCTAGAGTTTCAGATCTCAAACTGTGCTCTGATTTGTCAAAGCCAGATATTTCAATATAAAATGCTCAATATTATTACTACACATCCAGTTGAAAGGGAAATCGCATGCAAAGGAGGTGAAAAGTAATTAATACACAGTTTAGACCAATATTCATTCAATTTAGAGGTTTAAAATCTTAAGAATATCAAAACCAATTGGAAACCATACAAAGCATGTAATTTCAAAATTATTGGTCTTTAATATGTCCACACACTTTTTGGCCACGCAGTGCATCTCTTTTCTACAATAATGCAAACAAGTGTATTAAGTTAAATGCTATCATTGCAAAAATGAGCAGCCTTGCTGAAAAAAAAAAAGGTTACTGCATGAATGTAAGGTGTTTTGTCGCTCCCTAGAGGTTTAAAGCTGCTATGACAGGTTTGATCAAGAGAACCGAATCCAACACAACCAACAGCAAAGAACAAACACTAATGAGATCTCCATAATATCTCGAAGCAAAATAAAACTTTTAACTAAGCCTTCTGCTTCTCAGATGTTCTCATCCTAGTAATCGCATATGTGTCTCTTCTAGAGTTTCTGAAGAGAGCTCAAACTGTATTTAGATACCAAAGTCTGCAATCATAAATGCTTAAAATGAACATTTGACATAGAATCAATGGGAAATAACATGTAAAGCAAGAGAGAACAGTACAACGGAACGAAATACACAGTTTAAAGTTTTGAAATCAAGTTAATTACTGTTGCATTTCTGAAATGGTATAAAAAGCAAAAGAAACTATCTCACCTGTGAAGGAGGCCTTTGAGAGAGGAGGCTGATTACACATGGGGGATCGCCTGTGAAAATTCAGCATAACAAAAGCAGAACGCATTATAGATAGCACAATACATTTGATTTGTTTCCTCTTCTGCTCTTTTTGCACGTCAACAACGGTCCATGACGATTGGAAAGCTGCATTTTTGACGGCACTGCACTCACTTGTTGGATGTTCGATCTTGCTGGAGGTTGGTTAACGCTGCAAAGTTATTCCGTACCGTCCTCAAACTAGCCAGCACCTTCAAGAGCAAAGTAAAACACAAGGTCATTGACGTTGAGGCTCTGTAGTTTCGTTTTATCCATCATGTTTAAAATATTCAAGTTAGGACAAACTGAGTATTTGTGAAACTTCATTTCAATTCTGTTGAAATACTATTTTAAATAATGTGAAAATGGTTGGTATTTAATGTGGTGTTGATCTGCTTCTTAGATGTTTCTCTTGAGAAAAACACCCCAGTGATCTCATGCATCTCCTCTAGAGTTTCAGATCTCAAACTGTGCTCTGATTTGTCAAAGCCAGATATTTCAATATAAAATGCTCAATATTATTACTAAACATCCAGTTGAAAGGGAAATCGCATGCAAAAGGAGGTGAAAAGTAATTAATACACAGTTTAGACCAATATTCATTCAATTTAGAGGTTTAAAATCTTAAGAATATCAAAACCAATTGGAAACCATACAAAGCATGTAATTTCAAAATTATTGGTCTTTAATATGTCCACACACTTTTTGGCCACGCAGTGCATCTCTTTTCTACAATAATGCAAACAAGTGTATTAAGTTAAATGCTATCATTGCAAAAATGAGCAGCCTTGCTGAAAAAAAAAAAGGTTACTGCATGAATGTAAGGTGTTTTGTCGCTCCCTAGAGGTTTAAAGCTGCTATGACAGGTTTGATCAAGAGAACCGAATCCAACACAACCAACAGCAAAGAACAAACACTAATGAGATCTCCATAATATCTCGAAGCAAAATAAAACTTTTAACTAAGCCTTCTGCTTCTCAGATGTTCTCATCCTAGTAATCGCATATGTGTCTCTTCTAGAGTTTCTGAAGAGAGCTCAAACTGTATTTAGATACCAAAGTCTGCAATCATAAATGCTTAAAATGAACATTTGACATAGAATCAATGGGAAATAACATGTAAAGCAAGAGAGAACAGTACAACGGAACGAAATACACAGTTTAAAGTTTTGAAATCAAGTTAATTACTGTTGCATTTCTGAAATGGTATAAAAAGCAAAAGAAACTATCTCACCTGTGAAGGAGGCCTTTGAGAGAGGAGGCTGATTACACATGGGGGATCGCCTGTGAAAATTCAGCATAACAAAAGCAGAACGCATTATAGATAGCACAATACATTTGATTTGTTTCCTCTTCTGCTCTTTTTGCACGTCAACAACGGTCCATGACGATTGGAAAGCTGCATTTTTGACGGCACTGCACTCACTTGTTGGATGTTCGATCTTGCTGGAGGTTGGTTAACGCTGCAAAGTTATTCCGTACCGTCCTCAAACTAGCCAGCACCTTCAAGAGCAAAGTAAAACACAAGGTCATTGACGTTGAGGCTCTGTAGTTTCGTTTAAAATATTCAAGTTAGGACAAACTGAGTATTTGTGAAACTTCATTTCAATTCTGTTGAAATACTATTTTAAAAACTACAAAAAAATATTGTTTGTATTATTAAATATGGTGTAAAGTCAACATGACATACATTTCATGTCTTTTTGTGCATTATTCTCATATGCATGTTATTCCAAAACCAAAAAAGGTTTTAACTTCGTAATCATTTATCAAAAAGAAATGAACAAAATGACTTTGATTTTTGGCTGACATCACCAGTCACGCTTCTTTTCCAAGCACTTTTCACTATCCAGTCAGTTCCTGATGAATAAAATTCCTTCCCTACAATGTTTCTCGCCGAATATCCAGCGTGGTACGTAATACTATAGAAGCAAAATGGGTTGCAAAAGAGTTTCCTGTTGACTTTAACAGTGCAGAAGGGCCTGGATGAGATGTATCCCAGAATTCGCCCTGAACTGCTTCCCGTGTCACTGACCTGTGCAAACGGCGTGACGATGAGGTCATCTCCATGACTGCAAGAGAACGGAGAGAGTCAGAAAATCAGCAGTGTGACATACACACCTCAGCTACACAGCCAAAGAAAATGATGACTCTCTTAACGCCTGATACGCATGTTTATGTTGCATGCATTTGTCATAACAAACGAACCATATCATTAATAAAAGTGCAGATTTTCCCCCAAAAAATCAGATTGGATGATATTCTTGCGTTTGGTCCTTCAGGAGGAGTGAGATATGGTTTGTCTGTGTGACAAGAGACAACAAGGCAGGGACACGCTTGCATTAATGCTTTCTATGCTGGTGAATGTTCACTACTAGTGTGTGGACCACCTCCATTCATTCAGATCTCACCGTGAGACTCCATGTAAACACATTCAGTTAGCATCACACATGCTGCTCATGTCTAATCATGTACAAGAAGATTTCACACCAAAAGTCACTTGAAAAGTGTCAAGTCCACTGAAAAATGCACAGATAGTATTTGAAATACAGGAAGCGTTCATTATGCAACAATAGCGCTGATAAAGATGCACAAAGAAGTCAAGAACAAAAAGATAAAAGACAAAAATGAGAGGAAATAATCTGCATGAGTTTTAAACATCATAAACGACCAAACATCAACATTTCCATCAAGCACTAGGAGATTCAGATGTTGCAGATGTGAGCTGCTTGTCAAGCTGATTTTTTTGGGGCATCAAAAGCCCAGTTTGGATGCTGTGTCTACAACGCCCAAAAATGCTGCTGACTGGGTACTTGAATAACCTGATACTGAGTGTTCACTAGGTAGGCAGCAGCCTGATCCCGTCTCACTGTTGTTTATTATCCTGCATGTCCTGATTTGATGGGGAAATGTGGTGTGAAATGAGGAATATGATGCAAAAAAAACCTTCAATTTTATTCAGCATCCTGTTAAATTCCTCCTTGAACTGTCAGATCTGTGACACACCGGGATGTGCACATGCTTACAACACATTAGAGCTGTGATGCTCCTGAGGATGCAGTCACTTTCCTGTGTCTATCCATTTTCCTATCCGTTAAAGGCCGTAAATTAAAGTATAGCACATTTTTTTAATAACATGTCAGTTTAAATATACATTGTTCACACTGACAGTGATTAGATCACTTTAGCAGGGTTATTTGTCAAGGTTTTATTTTCTCAATTTCCTTACTTTTCATGTAAACTTTACTTGAAATATGAAATGAGAAAACATTTCTCATTTTCATTTAACTTACTGTCCTAAAATCTGAAATGTATAGTGGCACACTGCTGCCACGTAGGCTATATATTAATTTTTTCCACTTTTATATTTTAATAATGAGATATGTCCTTTCAACAATATATTTCCTTGTAATAATGACGTGTCATTAGAACTATGCTTTTTCTCATAATCACGAGATATTATGTCATACAAACTATGTTTTCCTGTTATTATGAGATATTTAATGTTTAATACAACATAATTTGTATGTCATGTGACAACATAGGCCTATAGGCCTTTATCACACTTACACATTTGAAAAGTGCAAAAAATATCAATAAAATAAAGCTTTAAATAAATGCATAAAAATGATATACTGTAGACATTATAAACAATAAATAATGATAATAATAATAACAAAAACACAACAAATTTAAATGAAAACAGAAAATATAAAAACTAATTCAAAATATGAAATAAAACTATAATAGTATCTCAGTGATATTAAAATAACACTAATAATTAGTGGCAGACAGTAACCAAGTATATCTGACCAATGACAATAAAGAAGTTTTCCACGAATTTACAGACGTAAAGGTAAAGAAAAATAAATAAATAAAACAGAAATAAATCCATCATTTTATAGCAACTACACTTTAAAAACAAAGCACCATTTCTAACCAATAAAATTTTTAATGTTGAGTTTAACTACAAAAACTGGAGTCACTAAAAAAATTATTTTATTCATTTCCATGACTTTCTAATTCTCCGATAATTCCAAGTTTTCCATGACCGTAGGCACAGAAACTGGAGTAGTAAATCTGTGTCAGTGTAAATGCCCCTTTAATGGGATGGCCTGACCTGTCACCGTTCTGCCTTCACATCATTCAGGCTCATTTGCACGTTGGAAATGCAGTTAGTGAGCGGCCAGTGGCGAGAGCGAGAGCGACAGCAGGACAGCAGAGCATGTGAGTGCAGTTAGTCGCTGCGGCGGGGAGGCAGTAAGTATGCGGTCGTAAGTGAGCAATATGCCAGTATGTTGGGAGGAGTCGGAGGTCACTTCTGGAATTCTGAGCACAGAACGAGACCTCCAGAACAGCCCTAAACACCACGTACCCTCTCCGCCTGTCATCCGGCTGGCTGAAGAAGCGTCCGATTTCACCCGCGGCCCGACTCCGTTTCAGCATGTGGGTGTCACTGACGCTCCTGCGGTTTAGCATGATGCCGTGTGTCTGTACGTCCATGTGTGTGCATGTATGCATGACGGCTTCCCTCAGCGCTACATGTTCACACGCCGTCCAGGAGGAAAAGGTCACCGGCAGGCATGTGTAGCGTATCACGCGCTCCCGTCCAACTGCTGCAGTATGCATGCGCGCTAAACATAGCACAAGGCCACGGCTTAGACAAGTGCAACAACCTGCTGCCATTTCACAACTGACAACCTGCTTATTTAAAGACTTTTCAGTGCAGCTTTAACTGGAGTGGGAATGTGAATGCTATCCTGCACGCTACTTTGAAGATGAGAGTGTCCAGATCATGCGTGTGAACTCCAGATGAACCCCACATCTGTGTGTGTTTCTGATGCTGACAGCGTTGCAGGGAGAAGACAACTAACTATGGTTTATCAGCGCTCTGCTCAGTATGCTGAGATTGTCAGGTCTTTCAGAAGAGCTTAATGGAGAGGCAGCAGGCATCTTATCAAAGCCGTCATTTCAGCGGAAAACACAGACGGCACCGGCTCGTCTTAAAGTGAGCTCTTTGAAAATATCAGGAAAAAAAGAGACACTCAGCATTAATAGGCTACAAACTGTCTAATGTTTGGCCAGTGCATTGCACAATACTTTGTTTGTTTGTTTGTTTTCTGTCAAATCAGCATCTAAGACTATCTTCAAGGCAAGAACATAGTCAAATCAGATTGAAAAAAAATTAAATAAAGTCATTCATAAATTTAAATTTTTTAAAATAAGTTAAAATTAAGTAATAAAATACTTAATTGTTAAAATAAATAACATGCATACAAATTTACGAAATTACGAATTTTTTTTTCTAAAATTAAAATAAAAACACAATTTAAAAATAAAAACTAATTCAACATATTAATGCTAACATTAATAAAAACTAGTATAATAGTATTAGAAACAGTATAATTATCATATAATCATAATTAGTAATAGTATTTTAATGGTACTAAAATGAGGCACGAAAAGGAAAAGAAATTCAATTAAAAAACATTTCATAGTAATTGCACTTTTTAAAATGCTGAGCATAACTACAAAAATTTGTGTGACTAAAGAATTGGCAATGATTTTATAAGATTTTATTAAGTTTTCATGACCCTAGAAACCATAAACTAAATAAATACACCATAAATAAATAACAAAGAAAGATAAAACCTTTAAAAATACATATATGTTTTAGATAGTACATAGTATACTAGTATACGAATATACTCTTTTGAGTTGACTGTGAATGTGACAGTAATGAAGCTCAAGGAGGCAATCATCTTCTTCACATTTTCAAAAAAAAAAAAAATTCACGTTCTCTTGAAATGTGCCACTACATCAGATGTGTTATTATTCAGGCTGCTGCTAAAAACAGTTCAACTAGCTTTACCAGTTTTCTTAGTAAGAACAGTTGCATCATAGTTGAGCTAAAAGAGAAAACTGACCACAGATAGTTCATGTTAATGCTCACTTTAGCGCCCCTTGTGGCAGCACAAAAAATGCAACGCGTATTTGAGTTGCGTTATGAGTTGTTTTCTGACATTCTGGAAAGAAATGACACGTGAAATCAAGCTTGCATACCTAGAAAACATGTAGATGAGTATGTTTCAGGCCTCAAACTGAAAATGTATTATTCTTTTGAAAAAACCCAAATGTGAAAAGTGAGATTTGTGTGGTGTCTTGGAACCTGTTCATTGAAATCTGAACAAAGTGATTAGCAAAAAATGAATCCGACTTCCCAGCAGTAACCATTACAGTACATTACGTGCAATACAGCCAATGAACTACTAAAACTCCAAGAGCAGTTGTGACGGTAGAGGGTAATATCAGGAACCGACATGATATTTCCTGTCATTCCAGGTTGAGAATGGATTCTCTAGCGAAATGAAATGAAAACATGTGCCCGCCGTCCCTTGGGACTCTACATAATGCATGAGCCGGTGCAGGGTTACATAGAGAAACGCTCTGAGCTTGCAAAGATCAGGCCAGAGAGAGGAAGTGCACTGATCTGACAATTTCCTGTGATATCATCCATCACCGTTCCATTTGCTTTAGCTATGCAATCTGGGCTCTCGGATCGTTCTGCTGTTCATGTGCTTGTTTTATCATGCAACTGAAGTGATATAATTCAAGAATTACACCTCTATTCTGTTGTATTCTCACGTTCTGTTCCAAAACCTAGGTGAGGGAGCAATTTAAGGTGTCAAGCGTGCTTCAAATGCAAAGATGATCTCAAAAGATAAGTAGCATGCAAAAACTTGTAAGGTGTTTAATTTTGGACAAATAAAAAAGCATGCATTGCCAAAGTATCATTAAAAATGTTTAGAATACTACATGTATATTATATACATTTTATATATAAAAGAAGCAAGATGAATGCCGATTATAAAAATGTTCTGTACTGAAAAGTGTAGTTATAATAATGAATAATTATACAATAAAAACAATACATTTTATTGTTTACAAATGTTATAATCTAAAAAAGAAGCAAAAGAAAATGTAAATACATTCTGTTGAGTACTGAAAAATATTAATAGAAATGTTTATAATTGATAATAATTGTTATTATAAAATAAAGATATAATTGTTATAGTTTATACATTTTATATATTATTTATTAAAAAGAGAAATTTTGATTACAAATATATTCTGTTGAATAACTAAAAGGATGAATAAAAAGTATATATATATATATATATAATTGTACATTTATTGAATGTTTCCAATTAAAAAAAAACACTGTAAACCATTTTGCTTATTAGAGCATCGAATTGCTAGCTTAACAAAATGCTATTGAAATCAATTGTGAAGTCAAATGTGAACCACTGTAAAGTGCTCAAAGTCAGTCTATTTCATGCTATCTTAGAAGGAAACGGTAGGCAGTAGGGAGCTCACTAGATTGTGGAACAGAGCCTCAGTGCAACTAAAGACATGTGCTGTATTTCCCAAAAGCTGATCATTTTGGAGTACTGTTGACTCCCCCTGTTGTTCCAATGTGACGAATGCAGCCCGAAATCTAATTCATCAATTTCAACATTTGACGTAAGAGTTCACAAAGCATCCATCTCTCTTAAATGTCAAGCATTTTATTACTTATTAGATCAATCCACTAAGGAACATGCGACACAATAGAGCGAATGCATTCACGGTGACTGGAGGAAATAATAATAACTGTGCTGTATTTCCCAAAAGCTGATCATTTTGGAGTACTGTTGACTCCCCCTGTTGTTCCAATGTGACGAATGCAGCCCGAAATCTAATTCATCAATTTCAACATTTGACGTAAGAGTTCACAAAGCATCCATCTCTCTTAAATGTCAAGCATTTTATCAATCCACTAAGGAACATGCGACACAATAGAGCGAATGCATTCACGGTGACTGGAGGAAATAATAATAATGATAACAGTCACATGTGCACCTCTGAACGACCATTATCAGTGTCACATGCAATGCAGGATCATGGCAAAGATGGAGATTGACAAACACGCACTCACACACACACACACACACACACACACACACACACACACACACACGTCCAAGCCACAAGCGGCATGTCATCCGGACTCTGTCTTCTCCATGCGATTTCTCTCATGATGTTCTCCTACGCTCTAACGACACACAGAGGTTTTAATGCCCAGAATCGTCACCCAATCAAATCAACCTGAAAATGACGTTTTTGTTGCCCCATCGCAGGTTGATTTGGTCGTCATTCTGCGCATTAAATGGTGAGGGTGTAGGTGAGGGTTCTCAATGCATGTGAGACCGTGATGCTCAAAATCTATCTATCTATCTATAATCATATTCATCCATCTATCTATGTATCTATCTATAGCATCATTTCAATCCATCCATTGCACTGTATCCATCAATCCATTCAACCATCCATCTATCGCATTGTATCCATCCATCCATCGCTTCGTATTCATCCATCCATTCACCCATCCATCCATGGCATCATCCATTCATTTATCCATCTGTCTATATATTGCATTGTATCCATCCATCCATCCATCCATCCCATTGTATCCATTCACCCATCTATCTATCTATCGCATCATATCCATCAATCCCTTTGTTCATCTATCCATCCAAACTTTCTTCAAAAAGCCTTTTTTAGGTTTTAAAAAGTCAAGATTCAAAGTTTGTCTTGACAAACTAATGGTTTTCTTGTTGAAAATTACAGTTGTAAGAATTATGTTGAATTCTGCTTCCTGAAATTAATGTTGCAATCCTGCAGCCTGATTCAAATTTGATTCAAATTCAAGAATTAAATTGTAATTAAAAGGCATTCTCCACTGAGTTCTGAATGTTGCACAAGCCTGACTCGAGAGGCATGCCTCAGTGAGGTCACTTAACATCCATGAGTGTAAACGCTCGGACTGACTGACCTTGAAGAGCTGGTGATAGAAGAGAGATGTGGAAATCAATGACCTCTTGTTCTGCAGCCAGATGCTTCAGTATGAAGTCCTGAATGTCTTTGCTATAAAATTACACATTAGACACTTTCCCCTTACATCACGCTACAGTATGGTAAGATCCTAGTGACTTCTGTCGGCTGACCTTCTCTTTGCTGTGCTGCCAAACATTTGCTAATACCAAACATTTGCTCATTTAATAGGACAAAAATAAGAGGTCAGGGACTCTCAAATGCACCAGCATGGTGAACATCACTAAGCAAAGCCCTTGATGTATAGTGACGCACAGCAAATGAGACATTGGGGAGACTGGAAAACCGCTTGTTTTAGGTTCTCCGTGGGACGTTTCTCCCGCAGCGGGACGTGTCCTGTCCTTTTGTGGGATTTGGTCTGTTTTGACCTCAGATTCATGACGAAAGCCACGCCATTACATCAGTTCCATTAGCACGCTATCATCCTAATGCACTTCTGCATAATTGTGAGACCGCACGGGTGCGTAAAGATACCTGAGCCTTAGCCGATACTGTCGGAGTAGTGTATTGTGATACGTCCTCCAGAGCTGGAGGGACAGAACGGA